ACACACACACACACCAACTAACGAGCTCTGATTGATGGAATATGTGAAATATCAAGTTCAATTATGCGGAAAATTTTCCCAATTCCTTCCTTCAAGTCCCTGCATTGCAAGTTGCAACAATACAAACACGAAAACACACGGACCTGTTGAGTGGCGCCTGTGATGGTAGTAGCAGGCACAGAGATAACTCCTTCGATATCAACAATTGATTCCCTGCTCAAACTGGTGGCAAATTTCACCATCTGGGCACTGACAACATCGGGCGTCACAGTCAAAATGCACTGCACCGTAAACCCCCGTTCCCTCACCACAACAAACGCCATCTTTTTACCTACGGCTCGAATTGCCTGACACCGGCCTCGGATCAGAACATCCTGGTCCTTCAACCCTTCGTTCAACTCCTTCACTTCCGTCCACTTTCGGCCCGAAATTTCCTTCGACTTCAAATCATCCAATGGGGTTTCACCGTAATTTTCGGCCAATGGATCCGCAGCGTCAATTGCCATGGAAGAAATATTAGTAGCTGCTGCAGCCGCTGCCGCTTCTTGGCGTTTGCGCAAGCGTTCAAGTTTTGCAGCCTCCTTTTTGGACAATTTCTTACCACTTCCTTCTTCATTTTGTGATTGATCTTCAGGGTTTGTCGGGTTTTGGGACGGTTCTTCAGAAGCCATTTTTACAAAGAGAGAATGGGGATTACGTAGGGTTTTAGAGATGGGAAAAAGAAAGTCGTAATGATTCGATATGTTGAAGAAATGAACAGTCTATTATTGACTATGTATTGATGGAAGAGCCCATGAAATTCTTATTCCTAACTCGATCGAATCCAATTTCCCTTTGGCCTCTGTAAATGAAAATCGATGGAATAATATTTTTTTAAAAAAAATGAGTTGTTAAAAAAAAAAATTTTTGATTCACGTATAATATTAGAAGATTGTATGGTTAAAAAGAGGAGAGAAAAATATAAGGCCAAACGAAAAACCAGACCAAATTTCGGTCTTTAAGTTTCTATTCAAATATCAATTCTAATTACAGAAGCGAAAAACGCATCTATATCATAAATTATATGCGAGTTAATATATGTTTAGAATTGGAAAAAAATCACTTCTATAATTAAAATAAAGTATTCAATAAAAATTTAATTTTAGAAACTTGGTACATTTCAATATAGATATATCCAAATCCCTCTATAAAAGTCTCAATATTAGATAAACATTTTTGGATGATAATATTCCCACTCACATTTTAGAATACCAAATTTGTTATTTTCACAACTTAGCCTCTGCTTCGTTTAGATAAAATCAATCTTTAATAATAGATATACGTTCGAGGGTGCTGAGAGCTAGAAAGCTCACACCGCTGAGTAGCCAATTTTTTACCCTCTGAATGACAAGAAACAATCCGCAAAATGCCACATCCAACTAGGCCTAAATATCAATACAAATCTCTCTCACAAAGCTCTAGGGACGGAACGGCGAAGCCCTCAAGTTTGGGGTTCAACCTTTAATACAAATATCTTCCTGATGCAAGACAACAGCTTTAATTACAGGTATAAAAGAAGAAGAAAACAAGAGATGTGAATTATCCACCAAGTCCTTGGGCTGTTGAGCAGAATCCTCAGGCTTTTATAGCAACATAAAAGAGAGAATGTTCAGATTCCCAAAATGGTTCTTATCTGATCAGGAGGATGTCTGGCCAGTGATTTTGGATCGGGATATTGATTCCTGGGATCCATAATTGCCTTATAAATAAGCTCATATGCATCAGTCAGTGATCTAGCAACCTGAACACAAGCTTCAGACCGCAGACTAGGAACCATCATTTGCTCAAACTCGGGCAGGGAACTTTCGCTTCCTAAAATAAGCCCAAAGTATGCCTTTAAACATTCTGAGAGAGAACCAGGAGATGTATCTTCCTCATCTGCCAATGCGGGTCCAGCAACGTCGTTGCCTGATACATCATTGCCCAGAGAATTACGGAAGTGGTGCATCTTGTTTGACAAGCCACACCTTTGCAAAATGGCATCGACTTCTTTTTCGACAAGACCATGCATGTGACTGTCTATCATTACTTCAAGCTTTTTCACATACTCGGATGCAACCTCATGTCCTATCAATGGTTGTCGGATGGCACATAAGCAGTTTATCAGAAAAATCTTTGAAGGGGTTTCACTTGTCTGCATGAAACATAAAAGGTCAGGGGATAGTAGAGCATATGGAGCCTGATAACAATAGCCAAGAGTAATGAATAATGAATATTTAAAAGAAGTACCACAATTTTATTTTAAAGCATGGGAGAAAATAATGATCATAATTTATTTATTTATTATTATTTTATTTTTTAATTTTTTTTGATAGGTGAAAAATAATGATCATAAATGAACAAAAAGATTATCTATTTCCATCAAGAACCTTCTATTTTCTTACAAATCTTAGTATGATTTGATTATATATATATATATGTTGATATAGAGCTAACAGATTTCAAAATATAGAGCTAACAGATTTCAACAACATAAGTATGTAGGGTCCCTTGAGTTTTTGGGCAAACGGGCAATTGATCCCCACCTTAGTCTCATAAGAGCTTTGCTAATCCCTATAAGGTTTTGGGAACATGTAATGCCAGCTGCTGAGTTCACTAACAGCATTAGCATACAGGACCTAGCAGTGGAATCATTATGGACAGAAACCTCTATAATGATTTTGAACAATCAACAATTTATTCTGAAAAAGTTGTAGTTACTAGAGCATCTACAAGAGACTCTTTAAATACAAGACGATCTCTATTTTAGAGAGTGAAAGCTTAAAAAGAAGCTCCAAGAAACTGTATTTGAACTTTTTAAAATAGAGAATAGGTTCAGTGTCCAAATTTGGAGAGTGGATGTTACTATATAATGATTGCAAGTTACAAATTTCAATATTCTACTCACTTAATTATCATAATTGAATTGATTGGCTATTGACATATAAAAGATATATTAACTAAAAAATGAGGAAAAATCAATAAATATTCTTGAAAAGAGCAAAATGAGGAGTCAAAATAGAGAGTGTTGTTAAGAGTGTAATTTATACTCTAAATATAAAGATGTTCTCTATTATACATAAGATGTTATCTATAAATATAGAATCTCTTGAAGATTCTCAAAACTAGGCTGCACAACAAAACAGTTAAACTATAAAACCGAACCGAACCACTTTTTCAAAATTGTTGGTTTAGGTCCACATGAGTTCGTCAATGTTTTGATTTTAAACCGAACCAAACCATTTTGAAGTGGTTGATTTAGATTTCAATTTTTGTAAACCGCCAGCCGCTTACAAAAATAAATCTGAAAATAAATTAAGTTAAACTTTATCCAACCCAATTTAAATTAAAAGAATTCCAATTAAAAACAGACATTCATATTAGACCCATCTTAATTAAATCTAAGAATGATACCACATAGAGGCTCAAGTCCTTCACAAACAGCTTTGGGAATTTCAAACCCATTCCCTCAATTTTTAAAGCTAGATTTATATGGGAAGCTCAAACTGAGAAGAATGATTTGATGGATTACTTAAATGATCGTTGTAAAGATTTGACAATTGAGCATTTCGACATATTACTTTGGTGGAAATTGAATGAAAATAAGTATAAGATTGTCTCCCAAATTGTCATGGATGTGCTAGCCATTCTAATATCCAAACTTGCTTCCGAGTTTGCGTTCTCTACCAATGATCGAATTCTTGATTTCTTTAGAAGTTCATTGAGTGCATAGATGGTTAAGGTGGTGATTTGCAAAAAGAATTAGTTTCATAGTAACAATGAACTTATAGTGCTTTGCTGATATTTGAATGAGATAGAAGCATTAAATGATTCAGAGAAAGCTATTGAAAGTTCTATAGTATTTGATCTTTCTATTCATTTTTTTATTAGTTGTTTTATACCATTTAATTATAATTAATAATACATTTGCTATATTCTTATCTTTATGTAGAGAATAAATCATGTGTTATAATTGAAGATATTACGCAAATTAATATCGACTAAGGGGTTAGAACTAAATATTTTCTATTTTATTGCATTGCAATGATTATAAGTGTAGAATTTTCATTTATAATTTATTACTATTTGAAATGATATTAATATTTATGTTTTGACGTAATATTTTAGACAAATATTTATGATTTGACTTGTTCGATGCTTTTTTTTTTTTTTTTTATTTGCTAAACCGTGGTTTTAAACCGATCCAAACCGAAAAAAAAAAAAAAAAAAAAAGATTTGATTTGGTTTGGTTTAAAAAGTGAAGTGGTTTAGTTTGGTTTGGTTTGATTTGGAGAAATTCCAAACTGCTTTAAATGTTTTGGTTTGAAAATTTGACACAAACCGTCCAAGTTGAACTGTGTTCACCCCTACTCTTACCCACTTTATGTTGCTGGAACTGAGCTACTTCAATACCTTGCAATTAACTGCACAGAATAGACTTGACAGCACAAAATTGCTATTCTTCCAAAAGCAAAATGATAACTAAAGAGTAATAAATTAGAATACTGGGAGTGAATTGCAAGTGTTTCTGTGTGTTTTGTTCAGGGATCGTGTGATTTAAAGATCTTTCCTGTGCAATGCTCTATTCCACAATATTTGTCAGTTGTCACTAATATAACTTTCCTTTTCGCCCTGTTACCTTCGCTAGGAGTATTTTGACCCAAAAAAAAAAAGACCTTTAATAACTAAAATACTTGTGAACTCACCCCCGTTACCATCGGTAGGAGTATCCCCCTCAAAAAAAAAAAAAAAAAACCCTTTAGCTGTATATGAACATATCGATGTGTGTATATGAGAAACATATGGAGATGCTAGCAAGATCGGGTGAGAATGGGACCAGAGGTGATAGTTCTTAGTTTTCAAGAAATTGAAATACTTTGAGCTAAAGGTATTTAACACTATCGTGAAGGAACTAGATACAAATGGAGTTGAATTGACTAAATATATCTTTTCATGCGATTTCCCAAACACAAGCTGAATTATTAGAACGAAAGAAGAAATGTTAAGAGTTCAGATAGTCGTACAAATATTTAAGAAAATTGTCAAGGAAATTAGATAATGTTATAATTTTCTAACAATAAAATGCCAGAAATGAATCATAAATAAGCAATTCAGCTATTGGAAGATCATGAACTGATAAACATGCGGACAATATGGTTTAAAACAGTTTTGAATGTCAAGAATAGCAAACAATCTGAAAAGAAAACAGCTATTTGATAAATCCACAATTTAGTCTATGAAGCATGGAAATTGGAGAAGTGAATCAAGAAAACACATACCTGAGACAAAGAGGCAGAAGTGCCATTTTCTAAAATAGCATCTACAGATGATTTACGGAATTGACCTATGTCGGAACTTATTCTACTTCTTCTTGATGACTGCATAACTCCCTTGGACTTGTATGTCTCTGCCACTTGCTCACATAACTGTATATATGGAACACAAGAGGATAAAATGAAAACCGAAGAGACAAAACCAAATAATTTTACATTAGTAAGGAATACAGCTTAAGTAGATATATGGATGCACCAAGCCTGAGTCCTAAATACATCAGCAAAAGAATACCAATTCAGCCGCCCAGGTTCTAAAGAACTGCTAGAGCTTCAAAACAGGTAAGAAGAGCTTCAGTTCATCAAGGCCACAAAGATATATG